CCTCGGGCATGCTTGATCTAGGAGCGGGCATTAATCTTATGCCACTTTCAGTCTATTGTCGGCTCGGGCTTGGAGACTTGAAGCCCACCAGAATGCGCCTTCAGCTGGCTGATCGATCATTCCGTCACCCAGAGGGTATTATCGAGGATGTGCTTATCTGAGTGGGGAAGTTGATAGTCCCCGTGGACTTCGTTGTGCTCGACATGGGGAACGTGCAAGAAAATGGAAAGCAGCACAACACTCTCCTTGGCCGACCCTTCATGGCTACCACGAGCACTGTCATAGACGTGAAGAAGGGGACGACAAGTATGACGGTTTTAGGCGAGTCCATTGTTATTTCTGTTCGAGAGACCGGGCCTGAGCCGCGGGCGAGTGTGGTTGAAGAGTGTGCTTACCTCAGGGCGATTGAGCAGCTGACCGAGGATGCGTGCATGCGAGAGCACGTTAAGAGGGCATTGCAGGATCGAGCTATAGATGAGAAGGAATGCCGAAGTGACCCCCAGCCGAGTCCCCGAGAGTTGCCCCGATCCCTATGGGGTGAGAGATTTGACTTGAAAAAGGCCCGTTGTTCGGGGCCTGACTTCCTCCACCCTCCACGAGTACCACCGGATTCACAGTGACTAGTCTAGTCACTGTGCCCTGTACGTTTGTATCTTTTCCCTTCTCTTTATTTTTGTTTGTTTTAGTCCTTCTGTCTTGTTTTGTTTGTTGATTGATTATATGAGTTAATTTCCTTGCATTTAGGTTCGACAATGGGGACATTGTTCGGTTCTAAGTGTGGGGGAGTTTTTACATGATTATGTGCTTATATGGTTGATCAGGTCTAGGTCTTCTAGGATGTTTTCTTCATTTTCTTTTCTGTTTTATTGTCGTTTCTTGAGTCAGTTTGTGTATTTTTCGAGCATGGATCATGGTGATGATGAGATTTGTTGATGATTGTTGATGATGTTGAGGAGATGTGATGATGATCATGATTAGTATATTTTGATGAACTTGATGTTTCGTTTTGATTGGGCATTTATTTACCCTATGAGAGGTTTGAGCCTAATTTTGTTTCTTGAGAGATATTGGTCGAATTCTTGTTGATCAGAACTTGCTTTGAGTTTATTTTGAAATGAATTGATTGAAGTAGTGAATTGTGAATATGATAGAGGCATTTCTTTGATATAGATCGTTTTTTGCCTTTTCCATTGACCCTTGAGATTATATTTCCATTAGCAGCCCGTTGAGCCTTACACTGTATTTCTTGTCATCTGATTCGATTGATTATGTTGAGACTTGACAGTATATATATGATTTGATGACGGAGTT